CTCTCAACACCCTCAAAACCAATTGCAAATGTCTAGCATGCTCCTCCTGAGTCCGTGAATAAACCAAGATGTCATCGATGAACACTACTACGAACTGGTCCAAGTATGGTCGGAACACACTGTTCATAAGCTCCATGAACACTGCCGGGGCATTAGTCAATCCGAAAGGCATGACTGAGAACTCATAATGCCCATAGCGTGTCCTAAAAGCAGTCTTCGGAATGTCTTCTCTCTTAACAGGAATCTGATGGTATCCAGAACGCAGATCGATCTTCGAGAATACTGTAGCTCCTCTGAGCTGGTCGAACAGGTCGTCGATGCGAGGCAACGGATAACGGTTCTTCACTGTGGCTTTGTTCAACTGCCTGTAGTCGATGCAAAGTCTCATGTATCCATCCTTCTTTCGAACAAATAACACCGGTGCTCCCCATGGGGAAACGCTAGGTCGGATGAATCCCTTTTCCAGTAGCTCTTGCAACTGAGCCTTCAACTCCTTCATCTCGGCAGGTGCTATACGATACGGTGTAGCAGATATGGGTTCCGTACTCGGAATGAGATTGATCGAGAACTCTACCTCTCTCGGCGGAGGCAAACCAGGAAGGTCTTCGGGAAAGACATCGGGGAAGTCGCAAACCGTATGGATGTCCTGCTGACGTGGTGATTCTTTTCGCATATCCTGAACGTGACACAGGAACATCTCGCACTTCTTGCGAATCAAGCGCCTCGCGCTCAAGGACGATATGAACTCGGGAGCCTTGGGGAACACCTCCCCGGAGAGTGATACGTCGCTACCATCCTCGGCTCTCAGCCGTACGGTCCGACAACTGCAGTCGACCACTGCTCTATGCTCGGTGAGCCAATCCATACCAAGGATAATGTCAAACTCCTTGTGTGGTAGCTCTATCAAATCTGCAGGGAATTGCTTCCCTTGCACGGACAACGGACACCTATGATAAATGTGATGAAACACAGGCTATGTCCTAGCGGATTCGATACAACAGTAGGTATCTCAAGGTCACTCCTCACGATCGCAGAATTAGCAGGCATGCCAACACAGATATAGGAGAGCGTGGAACCCGGATCGATTAAGGCATGCATAACCGAATCAAATAGTATGAACGTACCCAAGATAACATCGGGACTAGGATGCGATGTGGCAGGCTGATCCGGAGCTCTAGGAAAAACAGGCTCGCTGCTAGGGTTTGTCGGGCAATGCCTCCTGAAATACCCTGGCTGACCACAACCCAAACATAAGCCTTGGGCGAGCCAACACTCGCCCGGGTGATGCCTACCACACTGTACACACTGCGGGTGGCTCCTCGTTCTGATCGAGTTGCTAGCGGCGGCCGACGGAGATGGCTTCGACTTACTCCTCTTAGGCGGCGGCGCACTCGAAGAACCCTTCTCGTACCTCTTTCCCCCGAATCCAAAACTCTTCCCGTTCGGCCCGGTGCTGGCCGCGGGTCGCGGGTCTTTCGTCGCTCGATCCTCCTTCTTGGTCGCCTGTAAATTGTCCAAGCTCTTTTCCGTCTTCACAATCAAATCATACGCCGCATTAAAATCTGTCGTCGTGATCAGCGCGGCATACGGCCTCAAGTCCGGCCGTAGCTTCTACTGCTTGAGTAAGTTTGCTAGGAGGCCTCACCTCTGGTCTGAGCAGCGTATGACCCTGTCCATCAGCTTGAAGACAGAGTCAAGTCCGTCACTGTAGGGGAGGACGAATTCGCGTTGCTTGAGTAGCGCGGAGAGGAGCGCCATGGCCCACCCCTGCATGAGGAAGCACTAAGCTCGATCAAAGCGATCCCAGGTCCATGGCTTGGGCGTGTGTGGATCCTGGTCAATGCGCTTCAACCAATCATATGCTCCCTTCCAGAACATCTGTGACGCCAACTCCGAGCGATCTACATCAGGGACTCTCAAATTCTTGAGTACCCGGTCCATCTGCTCAAGCCAATCCAACGCAATCTGGGGCTCCCCCATCTTGTCTCCTCGAAACTCTTCCGCTCCATTATCCTTCAATGTCTTGAAGGTAACGATGCGCGGCTGCGGCTGTGGTGGTGGCGGTGTCTGGAACATGGGCATAAGCTGCGCCATGTGCTTCATATATTGGGCCATCATGGCCGGGATCATCTGCTCGTAGGCCACCTGCGGCATCACCAACGGTGGTATCACTGGAGGTGGTACGACTGGCGGTGGTACAGCTGGTGGCTGTCCCGCTGGCTCAGGTTGATTCTGTTGCTGCCCTCCGTCACTCGGAGGCGTGAAACTCGAATCCTCGGTGTTCACCGTGTGCACGCTCACGTGCTCCGGCTCCGGAACGTACTGACCATGGGTCGATTCTTGACTCATTCTAAAATAAAAAGGAAATTCCCAAGTCAGATCTTAACATATAACAGATAAAGCTATAAATACTTATTACCTTCCCGGGGCAGAGGAGTTACGTGAGATGCAGATGTGGCTGAATTATAAATTGTATTTTATTTTGAAAGGGTCCAAAGACCGATTTTAAAACCAAATGCTCCGATACCAAAATGTAACACCCCAACCCGCATAACCCAAACCCGTGAGACAGCGGACCGGTGTGCCACTGGATTGGTATCCGAATATACAACATTTTCAAAACAATTTAAAACAAACATTCTATCAATACATATAAAAATCCATCGGAGTAATTTAAAATAATGCAGAAGCCTTTTTAAAGTCAATCAACTTGGGATCTTGCCCGAAAACGTAATAAGCATTAAAGTTAATTAAATAAAGCATAACTACAGATTAAAGAGATAGCCACGCCATCGTACATCTCCTCCTCAATGCCCTCCGGGATCGGCTCTAGGTTCATCTGTCTGATCACCTACGGACAGCAAAAAGGAAAACAACGCTATCCGCTCAGCATTGACGCTGAGTGGCACTCCATTGTAGCACAAGAATAAACATAATAATTCAATGATTAAGATCGCGCATATGTTTATCCTTTTAATAAAAATCAATTCAACTTTACATTCGGTTCTTTAGACGGTTGACCAACAGTCAACTTATTTTCTTTCTTTTCAAAACGATTTAGGTGTTAAGGATTCCTCATTAACTCTTTGACCACCGGTCAACCCAATTTAGACTTTCACGAAAGTCCAACCACTTAACATTTATTGCCTATGACGGAGATAGCCTCAATCCGTAAAACCGAAGATAGCCTCAACTCGGTGGAGGTAAGATCCCTCGGGCGATGGCCTCAAACCCAAGGTCACAGACCCTCGTGCGCACGTCTTAACCTCACTGACCAGGCCCTGCAGCCGCCCGAGCATTGGCCAGTTTCTATGTTCGACATAATAAACCAACTGATCCTAATTACTGATTAGAATTAATTAATTCATTAAAGTCTTGGATTTAACCATTAGGTCCAACCTACGTCAACAGAATATGCAGTCAAAGCCCAAGTCAAACAGGACCTAACCCAAGTCAAAGTCAAACCTGTTCAGTCAATTCACAATCCTCAACAATTCAATTCAAATAATCAATTTAATTCAATTAACCAATTTAGCCAAATTATAGCATAAACATATATAACGATCCAAACCATTAAATCTATTCTGAACGCTATTAACTTCATAGTACGGACCTGGATTACGCAGAAATCGAATCGATAGCTCGAACGGAAAACAAATCAACGAAATCAAACGAACAACGGGTCAAATTGAGCCAAAACACGAAATCGACCAATCAATCTGGCGTGGAGATTAATCTGCCGCCGGTATCAATCCGGGGCAGCGGCTGGATGCGGCGACGGTGGCGGACGCCGGCGTACAGTGGCGGTCTATCTTGTTCAAAAATCGAAGGGATAGAGACAAACCGGAATGGAAAACTGAAGAAGACGAAGGAGAAGAAGAGACTGACCTGAGCTAAAGGGCGACGGCGGCTGGAGGCGATTGGCGGCACTGCAACTCGACGGCGAGGAGAGACGCCTGCAGTGGAGGCGACGTCCAGCGCTCGGCGTGGCGGCGCTGCACTCGATGGCGAGGAGCGGAGGACTACTGGCGAAGGAAGCAGCGGCGATTGGAAACCGTCGTCGGCGGCGCTGACCCTGGCAGTGGGCGACGGACTTCCGACAAAGGGGAAAGCAGCGCCGACTAGCTGTGCCGAGGAGGGACGGTGACCGGCGACTGGCTTACGGCGGCGATCGAGAACGACGAAGGTGAAGATGAAGATGAAGATGAAGATGAAGAACCAGGTTGTGCGGCTCTCAGATCCGAACGGAAGACGCGTAGGTTTAGGTTTTATTTAATGATCCCATTACTGAAAGGATTGGGCTTCGGACCCAAAATACCTGATTAAACGGCCATAACATGAGCTCCAAAACTCCGATTCGCGAGCCGTCTGAACCGACGCGATCACAAAAATATTTCCTACGAGATGACATAAAAGTTGGGCTTAGAATCCAAATTATAATTTTAGCCCCTTTTTTGGCCCAATTCGTAATCAATTGCTCTAACAATTTAATTAATTCTTTTGGGCCAGATTTCGGGGCGTTAGATGTAGTATTCTCAAGATGGGTCAATCCAGTCACACACTATCGATATAATATGCACCTACGTACAGATTAAGATATCAAAATACCTATAGTCTATGAGACGCAACTATCTCATCTCGTACGTACTAGTCTTGATACGTTATGACGTCTGTATTATCATAAAGTGCGACTAGGGATATTCTAGACATAGCCTTCGTCAAGAAGTAACATTCTCATAATCAGAACATCATAGTCCTCATGTATGTTACTGAAGCGCTATCGTCTATGGACTAAAGCTATGTTATGTTACACGAGATATAAAACATACTCCAAGGCCTTTCATGCATGATAAAGTGTACAGTTACATAGGTATTTGATTGCCGCTAGGGCACCTAAATACAACGGTTTCAAGTTTACAAAACAACCGGTCGAAGCTGGGGAGATCTTAATCTAGAAGGAAAGGGGGAGTAGGCTCTTCCTCTGGAATGGGAGCCAGGCCGTATGAAGCCGCGGTGAAGTCTGGATCCCTCTTCTTCAGAATCCAGTGAGAGGCAGCCTGGTCTTTCTTCTGACCGCTCTTGAATCCAAAGGACCCAATAGCGGTAATCATCTTCCTTCCCTCAGGCTCCCGGTAAAGAAGCCTGAAGGATTCCATGGTAGCTTCCGGGCTTGCCGTCATCACCCGGGAAGCTTTGGCCTTGTTCTCCTCCACCCAGGCAGCGGCACGACCAGGAAAGTTCTCCTCCTTCAGAGCCATCTCCCTCTTGGCTTCCGAGACTTCATCCATAATCCGGCCATTCTCCTCCTTCAATTGGGAGATCTCGGTCTTCATTGCCCCGGCCAGCCCAGACAGCCTGATCAGCTCATCTGCTTGGCTCTTCTGGATAAGGGCCATCTCCTCCTTCTCCTTCTTTAGCCGGGCAATTTCTGAAGGAGAGCCCATCCCCAGTTGTTCTGCTGTATGGGGCCGATCTCTCTTGCCTGCACAAGTAAACAACCCAGTTAGATTCTCATCAAGGGAAAAATAATACTAAGACTGTGATAGTAGTAGGACATACTTCCCTCAGCCTCAGGCCTAGATTGATGAAGGCCTCCTCGATGGTCCTGGACGCCGGCTCAGAATCCGACCTCGCCCTCTTCTTGGCATAAGAAGGATGCGTGGTGGCAACCTTCTTCATCCGGCGACCGGCCTTCTCCTTGCCCTTCCCCTTGGACCGGTCATCTTGGGGCTCATCCTCGTCATGGATTTCTACGGTCTCTGGTTGGACCGTGAAAGTTTTGGCAGTTTCAGCTTGGGAGCAACCGGTCTCCC